TGCTTGTACACTCTAACTTACTTTACCATTTTTTCATTGTTAACTTTTCATTTTTTTAAAATCTGTTTTGTTTCTAACATCCATTATTAGTGGATCTTGAAAATTAATTTAAATTACTACGGTACGTAATTATTAACATGTGGCATGGAATTGCTATGCTATGGTTGTCTGCTTATCATCAACCAATAAATCATATTATCATACAACTTCATTTATGCACATTAAATGATATTTCTCCACCGCATTTTGGAGAAATCTCTTATGTATATCATTTAATGAAACAGATAAAACACTCATACAATGACTGAGGTCCGGTCGGTAGGACACTGACCCCATGTACAAGAGGTAGTGGGTTTGACCCCCGCCGGTCGAAGATTCCCCGTGTAGCACATTAAATCTGTCGAGTGACTAAGTCCTCCATGTTCCCATAACAAATCATACCTCTAGGGGTATTGATCCAGATCTTCCTATTTTAAAATTATCTTCAAAAATTAAAAAAAAAATATCAAATCTGATATAAAAGTTGAATTTAGAGAAATAAAAAATTGGAAAGAAATTTTTTCATGAAGTTTTACAGCTCAACAGTTTTGAGATTACTAAAAATTTTATAAAATGCATTAAGTGAGTCGCTCAGGGGATAGAGCGTTCGCCTTCCAATGATGAGAACTGGGTTCGAATCTTGGCAATGGCTAGTCGATACGAATTCCGCATTTGGCTTGCCCCGACCACAGTGCTGACGTGAAATATACTCAGCGGTAGACGGATCATAGGTGAGAGTCCCCTTACCATCATGCTAATCATGGGAGGTTCTCGTGGTCTTCCTGTCCTTGTAATGTAAATGCGGGTGAATTAAATCAAAAAGTTCTCCAAGAAGTCAAATTTCGCCCAATACTTGATCTAAGAGTTTCCTTGTATTCTGGATTGGGTTCAAAATTACAGGGCTACAGAGTCGAACATTAGTAGTCGTAAACCCAAAATTAGGTTGGCTGTTCGACGAAGGTTATAAAGTAAAATATTAAAAAAATGACGGCCCTTTGATTAGCCTTCGTAGGCACGGAGGGTGTACGGTATTGGTCGTTAAATTGTTCTACGGTAAAGTGCTCGACTTCGTGAGCAGGTCGTCGGGCAACCAAAGCAGGGGAGCCATCCTCTCTGCAGAGGATCAAAATTGTGCTGGCATGCCCGCGGATTATCCCCAGGGATGTTTCCCTGACAATGCCCATAATGCAGCCCTAGTGCTGTGTAAATAAAGTACTCACAATCGTTGGATCACGAGCCGCGATGGCTCAGGGGATATAGCGTTCGCCTTCCAATGAGGCGAACCGGGTTTGAATCCCAGTCGATACGAATTCCGCATCCGGCTTGCGCCGACCACAGTGCTGACGTGAAATATCCTAAGTGGTCGACGGATCCTGGGTTAGAGTCCCCTTGCCGTCATTCTCGTGGTCTTCCTCTCCATGTAACGCAAATGCGGCTTAGCTCCATCAAAAAGTTCTCCGCGAAGGCAAAATTTCACCCAATACTCGATCCAGGAGTTCCCTTGTCTTCTGCATTGGGTTCAAAATGACAAGGCTAGAGAGTTGAACATTGGTTGTCGTAAACCCACAAAAATTGGGTCGGCTGTTCAACGACGGTTATAAAATAAAATAAAATCGTTGGATCACCGATCATTTGCATGTTCACGAGGAACAATCTTTGAGATAATTTATAACAATGTGGTCATATTGGAAGTCGCGTGCGTTTTGCGAAAGTTTCGGAATCACGGAAGCGTGACCGCTAAATTGAAGACAAATCTCTATTGTTGTCCACTCCTTCCATCACCTGACCATTGTTTTGTGCGGAAGTGAGTGCACGAGGCAAACATTAAAATAGGGAAGGGATGCTGCCCTGTTACACATTTTCATGACGTAAAACGAGGCATTTTAACTATTTGTTCAACTTGCTTGACGATAAGTAGAAAATTAATTTCCCCCTTGCACTGCATTGAAACAATCAATCAACTTTTTAAACCAATTTGCTGAAAAATTATGTTTAATCAGGGGTCTGTTTAGAAGAAATTTAGGTCCGTTAACGGACCCTTCAGAAAATATCTTTTTATAAAAACGGACCCTTCAGAAAATATCTTTTCATAAAAACGCACCCTTCACAAAATATTTTAACTTTAAAACGGACCCTTCACAAAATAATTTATCTTTTAATTGGACCCTTCACAAATTTGTTTATCTTGATTATTGTTTTGTTAAAGGAATAAACCCTTCCCAAGAGGGGGGGGAGAAAGGCAGATGTAAACGAACTAAATTTTGTCTTAGGCAGACGCTTCTTCCTTTATTCGTCCGAAATGACTATTCTGCTTTCAGCAGTATAGGCTAAATAGCAAATATTTGTATGTTGCATCGCTAATTTAGTAGCTGCAATTGCTATTTATTTTTTAAAATTTAATTTTTTTAATTATAATTTTACAGTGTTGAGCATAATATTGTATCTATTTACAATTTAAAAACTCCTTGAAAAAGTTTTTTTGGAAAAACGGACCCTATTTGCACAAATTCACAAGAGCGAACCCTGATTGAAAGAATGTGACTTAACGTTTATTTTATATTCACAAATTACGAGAAATTTTTTCACAATTTTACAAAAACGGGCTTTTCGCAAATTGTCTGGACAGACCCCTTAATTTTGGTTTTTGCAATAGTTTGACCAATACTGTAAAATAAACCAGTGTTAAACTTTTAACTAAATTGGATTGAAACTGAAGAACTCTTTAAAAAAAATGTCCTAAAAAGTGTTTGAGATAAATGCAGAATAAGTTCCATTTAAAAACGAGTATTTTTACTTTGCTTATGTTTAGATTTTTAATTCTTTTCAGTGCTTCAAACTAACATGAATAGCTTCAAGAACCGTCTATCTAAACTAATTTTGGTTCGTGAACAAAAAAATTAATAAGATAATAAATTTGACGAAAAGCGAGTTAGAAGTTATATTTCGCAAGATTAATATAAAATGCCATAAAAATCGTATTTATTATTTCCGTAACAAGCCGACCGGCAGGGAACTGTCCTTGCATCAGAAAGGTTCTGGGTTCGACTCCCGGGCAAGGCATGGATGTTCTTTCCTTCTCTCTGTACTATCTGTCCTCACTGTGGGAGTGACGTTGGCCCACCTAATATCGTGCCCCTGAAAGAGAGGCCAACAAAATCGCCCTGTATATGTCTGAATTGACGGATTTTAACTCAGGCGAGCATTAGAAAAGAAGAAAAAAAAATTTCCGTAACAAAGAGAAACTCATAACCAATCTTTCATATTTTACAATTTAATTAGCCTTAAGCTAAAAATTTAATGATGCCTTAAAATATTTTCTATTCAAACCAGACCCTGAAAATGAACGATTTTGTTATTAAAATTTAACAAAATCACTTCATGATCGAAGGGCTCGGTTCCACCTTATAGTTTGTCTAAATAAAGAACTCCCCTCGTCTGTCTTAAATATTGACCAGACACCCCTACGTGAAATAGTTAGACCTCATAACCATAGTCACCGCCACTGTTCCTGACGAATGGCCACAGACAGACTGAAACCCGTTGTGGGAGGTGTCGTTGGTGACTTAGGACTGACCCTGTCTGGAGCTTAACCTCCTTCAATACTCAGCAGACTTCTAGTATGTGACATCATGCCCATAACTTTCGGTATGAACTTCCGCTTAAACTCAGAGATTTGATTTGGGGTATTTTGAAAGTTAGGTGTCAGAAATGACAGCTGGTTATAAATTTCTGGGAGTCAAATTTAAATTTTTAGGTAGAAAATCGGTTAACACCCGCTTATTTCGAACCCGTGATGGCTATGGGGATAAATCGTTCACCTTCCAATGAGGTGAACCGGAGTCGAATCCCAGCTATGACTGGTGGATACGAGTTCCGCACTCGGCTCGCATTGACCACAGCGCTGACGTAAAATATCCTCAGTTGTAGACGGATCATGGGTTAGAGTCCCCTTGCCGTCGGGCTAACCGTGGATGTCTTTCAAGGTCTTCCTCTCGATGTAACTCAGATGCTGGTTAGTTCTATCAAAACGTCCACCACGAAGGTAAATTTCTCCCAATACGTGATCCAGGAGTTCCTTTGTCTCCTGGATTGGGTTCAAAACGACAAGACTACGGAGTTGAACATTATTAGTCTTAATCGGGTCCCAGCGCCCAAATTCCTGTATGTTGATCTCCATTCTCCTGTAACATTGCTGTGTTGCCATCTGTTCGTCGCCTATCTATCCCTCTATTGTGTCAATTACTTTGTTGAGGACCAGCGCGCACTTCGAGCTATCAGCATGTCCCCGGATGACCCACTGCGGGGGAGGGGTTAAGCTAGCAATTAGTAGTCTTAATATCAAAAATATGTTGGATTTTTAACAACAGTTATTAATTATAAAAAAAAAACTGACCTATGCGTGGAGCCTGCTCAGAGTCATAAACTCGTTCCGCAGGTGGACTGGCCACATGCAGTGACCAAACTCTCTGATACTTATAAGGTCAAAGAGAAAAAAAAAGGCAGTAGAGCTCCCCCCCCCTTTTTTTTTTCTTTTTGATATTCATTATGATTTTAAGTCACACTATTGAAAATATTCAGTTTTATGAATGACGTCAAAAGCTATTTCACTCCATTCTTCGCCATTTTAACATTGTTTAATGACAAGCATGTTAAAACGACATTTCCCTATTGTGATTTAACGGACTTATTTATATTATTTTTATTTTTTTTAAATTCAATGCATGGTAATTGTCAGGGATTCGTTGAACCACATTGATAAGAACTACATCATTCAATAGAATTCCTTTAAATGAATTTATAGAAAGGACAAAAGTGTGCGCCGTTAAACAAAATAAACCATAAGTTTCTACGTAAGGTAACTACCCAATCTATTTACATTTCAAATTCAAGTGTTGTTTGTGCAACTTTTTAAATGGAACGTCCATTTCGAGAGAATACTGAAACATCAAGAAAAAACTCACCGACTTTTCTTGCTCGGACGGCTTTTTCGTAGTTTTTGATGACTTTTTAAGTTTCTTGACCATCCTGAGAGTTTTCCTTTTTGTTGCCGGCTTTGTAACATTTTGTGCAAAGGCTTCCAAGAAAACTGATAGGGAAGAAAATGGAAATCACATTAGATCAGTTTCTTTTCAATTTCATTCAAGTTACACAGTCATTTTTTTTTTTTTTTTAATTTTCTAGCTAACTTTTATTTAGGCCAATTTTCGACTAAATGTCGGCCCATATCTGAACATATAGATCTTGTTTCTCTTGTCCCTACAATCGTTGAATATTGTACAAGATAGATTTATTAAAATGATAATAAGTTGATTAAAATAGGCTTATTTTAATAAAGTAAGTTATTTATATTCAGTAGTCGGAAAAACTACATTATTTTGTAGCCTAACAACTACGAAGCAGTTGTTAGGCTATTTTATAACGAGTTTGATTTGAGTGCGATGTTTTTTCAATGGCTATTGCGAATTCAGAATTTAAGAAAAACGTCATGATGACGTCCAAGTCCTTAAGTACTATTATCATTTTCGGTTCTACTTTATGCAGTATTAAACATATAGTTTTTGGCAGGATACTGAATCCACGTGACACTATTTACACGTACCCTAATATTCAAACCAACCTTATCTTAAAAATTCTCAACATCCTTGAGGATAAAGTTATATCCAAAGGCAAAGTCAGCATATTTATCAAACTTCCTGATAGAATATCATCTTCTCTCATCTGATGTAACTTTACTATAGGAGCTAACATCGTAGACACGTACGTAGAACACAGACATCGTAGCTAATTTAATAAAACTGTAACTAATCATAAACAAATTTGTCTAAACAAAATTTATTCTCAGATTTAAATATTTTAATACCCACTGTCCACAACTGGGTACTTACATTATAAGAAGAAAAAGACCTCACATGCCACATGTGACCTATGACGTCAGTGCCAGCTAATCTTTATCAGCAAGATGACGTATTACAGTTAAGTTTATCTACATAAGTTAGAATCTTAATTAACGATAGGTTAATTATACGAGTATATAGAGCCGCATCGCACATCGAATTTGTTGAAATATAATTCTTTCTCGTCTACTTCTTTTACTAAACTTAGATTTATTATGTGTTTATGTATTTTATTGCAACCGTGATATATTTTTGTTTTGTGTACCTGGCAACTTGAGATTCATAATTAGCTTGTTCATGTTCCACATAGTTTCGTGCCTGTCTTTGTGATAGTGAAAACATTGAAATCTTTGTGACAGAATTTAGAATGTGTCACTTAAGAGAATCGATACTTGACGGGCTTGGCGTACTCGAAATAGAATGGAGAGAACAGTTGCTAACGTAAACGAATGCCACGCTTCAACAACCATTCCGGATCGTGATACCCACTCAAACAAGGTAAGAAAACAAAGATAGCATTTATTTTAATATAATGTAATAGTTCTACTTAAAAATTAAGTTAATATAACAGTTCTTACCTAATGATGCTAGTAACAGTAAGGTGTAAGACAATAGTCGCATTTCAATCTGTAAATAAAAAATTGAGATGAAATAAGGGTACACTATAAGCACACATTTAAAAACAACTCTATTCAATGATTATGTTCCTAAGCAGTTAAAAGCATTGGTTGATAAAATCCTTGAAAGTCGCAAACGATTTATAAAGCATGCTGATGGCAACATTAGAAACCATTTGTTATTGATTGCAAACGATATATTTAGAAAGTTATATTTTTTCTCGCGCGTTGTGATTTTGTGAATATTCTAGAAGAGATTCTGAAATCAGGGCTGAGGAATCGAATAAAATTTTGCAGGAATCATTATCGCAAAATTTTTTTTCTCGACTCCGACTCCACTTAGTTAAAAGTTGCATGGTCTATGTTCTAAGATCAGAAGAAGAAATGACAATTTTATGAGAATTATTTATAATTCTATGGATAAAAATATTAATAAGTGAATATTATAACGATTACCTAAACTATAATTTATCATAAACTTAATTTATCTCATTTAAATGTTTTTGATATGATTGAATTATTATATTTTGATTTAAGAGTTCCAAAACCAAGTTTGCTTAGCCAAGGGGAACAGTTAACTGAAAAGATGAAATCTTTTCCTAGTTAATGAATATTTACTTAACAATTTTGTAATGAGTTGTTTACATCTAAGAGTGAGCTCTTTTGTTATAATGGTTTTGCACAATTTCAATATTTTCTATAAATTTATTTCTTCAATTGTGAAAGTCGGTGACGGAGGGTGCTTTCAGAAAATTACCGGAGTAAAACATTTTTACACCCGACTAAAAGATGTTTTCAGTTTTAATATAAAGAAAGACCATGACGATGTTTTTTCGTGCTAAAGTTGTTAACAGATATTTATTTATTTGCAGAATTTATCTGCAGCACTATCTTCATAAATCCGAAATTCTCTGCTAGCACAATCCGAGATTATTAGTGTGAAAAGTTATCTAACCTGCTAGTTGCAGAATTCGCAAATATATGATTGTAAAAAATTTGATATAAAACAAGGTTCTCGCAGCTCAGGGAAAACTTATGATTGTCAGAGAATTTTATTTTAACTCCAAAAATCAGGGAATAGTCAAAGAAAGTTGTAATTTTTTTTTTACAAAAAGCTGGAAAATTCTTACGTTATACCTGGAAATAACCGGTCTTAGAGTTGTCAGTATGAATAATTGAGAATCGGGTTAAATAATCCAACTGACATGTTCTCATCCTCATTCAATGATATTTTTTTTTTTTATTCACAAAATCTAATATTGCGCATTACAAATAAAATAAAAATCTAAGTTTTCTGATGAAAGGTTGCATGGTATAGATAAAATATGGTCTGGATTTTCATTGAAATTTATCTGATACATCTAGGAAAGCCAGGGAATTTTTTTACCTGAAAATTGAGTTTCCTAAAATCTAAATTTAAGTTGAATTTTATGCAATTAATTCGAAAAATAAATTAAATAAATCTCTATACAATTAAGCCTGCAATCAAGTTAACAGAAGAAAAACAAATTCTTAACTTTTTGTTCTTTGCAGAGTTTTTCTTAAGCTTTAGGAACAAATTTAGAGATGTTTTAATAAGGAAGCAATTTTTCGCAATGCTTTTTTTAAAAATTAAAAGAAAACAGACGAAAATAATCTGCAGATGCTGTAAACATCCTCAGCAACCCGTGCTGGAGAGTCCATAGTTCAGGCTATGCATTTATAAATAAACTGTTAGCGATTGGAGAAATCTTGAAATCTACATTTATTCTTTCAAAATAATAACTGATTTACCACCTGAACTCAGGGGATAGAGCCATGTTTGAATCCCAGCGATTACTGGTCCATGCGAACTCTTTTTACCGGTTCGCAATGACCGCAGAACAGGCATCCTCAATGAAATGAGTTAGACTCACTTTTTCGTCGGGCTAACCGTAGGAGGGTTCTATGATTTTCCTCTCTACGTATCGCAAATGCAAGTTAGTATCATTAAAAAGTCCCTCGCAAAGCTAGTTTGCCCCAATGCTTGACCCAGAATTTCTCTTGTCTTCTGGGTTGGGCTCAAAAATTAAAAAGCTACAGAGTTGAACAATGATAGTCATAAACTCAAAAAATGTTTCAGCTGTCGAACGCCGGTTATAAAATAAAATATATTTTGAGGGTCAAGTGTCTAAATCTATCGGGGAAAAAAAGCGTGTTTATTAAGTGAAAGTTCGTTTTTTTTCTGATCTTATTTCTAAAATATCGTTCAAATTATTCATATCACATAAATTAATGTAAGTATTTAAATTTATCTCTTCACACAACTTAGAATGTATGAAACGTATGCGATGAAATATTGGAATATTAGTTATTTGTGCTTAAAATTCCGTTCCTTTGATCAAAAGCTGTTGCAGTGTTTTTAAAAGCACGCTATACGTAATTTCCATACAGAAAACTTTCGCCAAGTCTGCTGTTAACAATTAAATAAAAACAACTGTTAAACAATTAAATAAAACAAGAGAAAGAAAACCGCCATTAACATTTTGAAAACTGAAGGAGCTGCCTTCCAAAGCGTTTACATGAATTTCATACACAGTTATCGACAATTTACTGATTAAAGATAATGAAAAGTTGACCGATCAAATTCGATTGCGCATAAATACAATCATTGTTTCTAAATTGTATTGTAATTGTTTATTAATGAAGCAATTAAACTCATTGTTTCCGGTGCGTACATAATTTTTTTTTTATTTTGTTTGTCAACGGAACACGCACCGCTTGTTTCATGCTCCTCGCGTAAGAGGTATTTTATATCATAAATTTAATTGACTACAAAACTATTGCGAACACTTTATTGGATTAAAGGAAACAAAATGAATGATATAAATATTTATTATTTATATGGTTCAGAAACTACTTTTTCCATGACGCTACTTTGATGAGATGAATTATTACAATATTTAAATTAGGATAGAATAACGCGCACGAAGACTTATTTAAATTTAATAGGGAGATTTCGTAAATTGACGTTAGTTTCCGTGCGTAAGATTTCAAGTAATTGCGCATGCGCCTATGAAAAAATATCAAATATATGTAAGTGAAAATAAGAGATTTTGCAAAAATCCGTAAGTAAAAAACGCTAACGTAGTGGAATATCATTTTAACTTTGACCACAAAATCAAGAAAAATATTTACAATGGATGTGGCATACGACTCGATGTGATTTGCTCTACGGATCTGTGAGCAGAAAAATTTAATAGATTTTGATTCATTCAACAATAAGGAATGCAGTTTATTACTATTAATATTTAAAAAAGAGTTTTATTAATTATTTAACTTCGTTTAACTAAATTGTACAGTTAAAATATATATGATTTATAATTTTGAAATGGCGCAAAAATAATAGTTTTTTTTTTATGGAATTAGTGCAACTAGACAACCATAATATTAAACAAAAACCAATAAAATTATTTTTTTTATTGAATGAATCAATGATTGTCAGATCACACGATTCATTTCTAAATTTTATCAATAATTCATTCTTAAATTTCTTGTAATTCGTATTTTATTCTTCTAATTCCCATGTTTTTAGTTCGAAGGTAGGCTTAAACAGAAAATAACATTTGACAGCCCTCCTGTAGCGTAAATCACGCCAACATAACGTAAAAGGTACGTAACATCTAAAATAAACTCGAGTGAAGCTAGCGTAAGAGTGCGAAGTCTCCTTATTGCCCATTAATAGAAAACATTTTAGTTTGAGAATGAAATTTTATTTATATTAATAATCCCTGGACACCAGGAAGCTCCACTTTTTTCCTTCCTTCCTTAAAAATCGATATTTTCCAGAAGAGCAAAGAACATTTTGAAAAAAAAAAAAAAACGCAATTATTGAAGTTTAAATAAGAAAATTTAGTCAATATGTTGATCGTAACAAAATGAGCGATTACAAGGAGTTGAAAAATGATCATTAGTAATTGAGAAAAAAAAAGGATTTGACTTAAGGAATGCTAATTATGCGACTCAATAAGAAAAAATAAATTATGTTATCCATTCACGAAGCATTTAAATGTCTCCATTTGATGTTTGTCGTCGGATTGGTTTTCATATCCTGCCTGTGTACGCGTTTCAAGACGTCACAAAATACTAGTATTCATATATTTATATTGAAATCACCGTCAAGTCAGTCACTATACGTTAATACTAAAAAAGAATATAAAAATACTTTAAATTATTATCAGGTAAATACTTGTACATTAAAAATGCCTGCTAGTGAAAGTAAAAAGAAAAACAGCAGCGGTCGCCATAGCAACACATGCGCTTTGTTTACTATTACAGTTGAAAACTGTGACCGCCATCAAATCCTAACCAAGACTCATTTTGCCAAGGGTTATAATGATGAAGGAA